CTTTATTCTTCAAAATCAATATTTGTCAATTGTAACAATGGAATTATAAATTATTAATAACAATCTCAGTTATTAGTTCTTTGTCAATTATAATGCTTTGTTTAATCATCCTGTGGATATCTAACGCCGATTTGTCTTCGGATTTCGTCTTCAATGCGTGCAAGTTGTAAGCTCTCTGCATGACTGGCCACTTCGTTTTCTAATTTTCCTTCACTAATACTTTGTCGTACTGCTTCGGCTTCGTATCTAAAGCCAGCGCTATTCATGAAGTTGGTATCATATTTGGGCTTGGGTAAAGGCCAAGTTTTTTTCGTTCCATCAACATCAATGATCGACGTTGTGATCCAAAATAAAGGCATCTTAAATGATAAAGTCAAAATGTGACACAAACCAATAATAAAACCAATTTATTCAACAAAATTACCGTAATCTGGCCTTTTGATCCAACAATTGTGGCTCCATTTTTGTATGTAGTTGTGAAGCTAGTTCTAATTTTGCACACTTTATTATCACCGTAATTAATCACCGCAGACATTTCGAGATCGACCCCATCGTCGTTCAGTTTACCAGCTGCTTTGATCGATGTTGGAGCTTGTTGGAATATCCATTGGCAGAGTTGAATTGGATAAACTCCAATGTCTAGCACAGTTCCACCTCCAAATTCTTTTTTTCTGTTAAAGATAATTCCTCGTTTTAGTTACACATCAAATACTAAGATTGAAAAGAATAATGAAAAGAGTATTCAGAAATTATAAGCATTATCTCATTATCCTACATAGCCCGTTCAACGAATTGCATGTTATCCAACCCCAATTCGGCTTCAACTGACAAAATTTCACCGAGCGCTCCACGTTGGACTTGTTCACGAACATACTGGAAGCTTGGAAGGTAACGTGACCAAAGTGCTTCCATTAGAAATAGTCCCTTCTCTTTGGCATACGCGATCAGTTTTTGTGCTTGTTTTTCATTCATCGTCAATGGTTTTTCCAATAGCACATGTTTCCCATGATCCAGCATCAGTTGAGTTAATTCTACATGTTGTGGATTTATTGTGCCAATGTATGCTACATCCACATCCGGATCTTGTGCCAATTCTAAATAACTTCCGTAAGCTTTTGGAATCTCGAATTTTTGTGCAAATTGTTTTACTCGCTCCAAATCTCGACCGGCGACAGCTACAACTTGATGTACTTCTGGGTCCAGTGTTCCGAGCGCATTGGCAAAGTCGTGTGAAACGTTACCAGCAGTCACAAGACCCCATTTGAAAGGCTTCGGCTAAAATTGTTATTGCAAATTAAATTATTTTTTTCAATTGGTGGGTTCAATGATTTTATGCTTGACAAATCTGAATTTATACGAAAAAATGAATTTGAACACAAACAAATTCCAAATACCTTATCTTCCGACGGTCTTGAGTCAACAAAACATGCCAAAAGGCACAAAAAACCCAGAATTACAATATTTTTAACCATGGCTAACCTCGAAATACAAAAAAACTTCCTCTACTTTGTATCACTGCACTTAGAATTGATGAACATCAATTTTAAACTGTCGAAGAGTGGCAAAATAACAAGGTTTTATAGTTTTTTGAAAAATATCGATAAGATATCAAAGAGACAGAAAAAAATGGCAATGAAAAAACTGGAATTTACGAAAATAGAGTAAAAATCGCTGCTCGAGTGGAATGAATGTCAACGTCATGTAGCTATGACAAAGTTTATAAACAAAAAATTAATCTGTTATGCTTCGAGGCATGTGATCTCAATCATTATTCAAGTTTATTCCTGCTTTTTGCCATGTATTATTGATAACTCACGTACCGGCTTTTATCGATTTATTACTTGCATTGCGTCAACGCCATAAATTGTAATATTCGGTGAGTGCCACTTAAAAAAATATCCACACTCATCTAGTGCGTGAGACGCATGGTCACTCATTTAGTGAGTGAGACGCACGCGGATGAGATGAAGCAAAGCAAAAGAGAAGCGGGCAACTCCATACGAACGAACGATATAGCGCGCATATATTTCGCCACTCCGTCGTTAGAATACGGACACAAACACAAACACGTAGTACCCATTGACTCTATGTTCTAGTTGCGCGCTTCCCTTTCGCTTTGCTTCATCCCATCCGCATGCGTCTCACGCACTAGATGAGTGTGGATATTTTTTTAGTGGCACTCACCGAATATTACAATGTATGGTCAACGCGTGATAATGAATGCTTTGTGTTTGAATATTCTTCAAGATGATCATTATCAATTGTTCGATAATAATTTACAAAGCCAAAAACAGGCGTTAAACTGGGGAATTCCAAGTTTAAAAATACTCATCGCTTTGATAGAGCCTTTATTTATTTATTTATTTCAACTCGTTGCAAATGGTAAGATTGATTTAATATTTGGAACAAACATGTGTTTTTAGATTGCTGAGCATCTCAGCATTTTGTAAGGCACGGATATATCCGAGCATATCGACGACGCATACTGTATAATACAGTGGCGTGTGTTGCTACGTGCAGCCGCAACGACTCGACCGAAGTGTGTTCAGTTGATGTGGCTGCACGCAGCAACAACATACACATTCCGGTCGAGTCGTTGCGACTGCGCATAGCAACGCACGCCATTGTATGCGTCGTCGATATGCTCGGATATATCCGTGCCTTACGAAATGCTGAGATGCTCAGCAATCTTGAAACACATGTTTGATTTGGAAAGGAAATATAAAGAAGGGCGTGACTCAGCACTGAAAGCTGTAGACACTCCGTATTAAAATCGTACCATCAGTCTACTCGGACACAGTCTTCTTTATTTCAAAAATGCGATTTGTATGGAATTTTCTTCTCGTTATCGCACGCTTTTTTTTGTTAACAATATTTTGCATCGCGTTTTTGTACGGAATAGATTCATATCTCGTTTTTCAAAACAAACAAAAGTATACGGTTTTGTTATCACTCTCTTTGCTATTATTATAATGTGGTCTTTGGCGTATCAATGTCAATACGCAAAGGATCAATTGATATTCCCACTAGTATTATGGCATAGGAACACTGATAGCCAAACCGTATTTTTTGTTTGTTTTGAAAAATTAGATATGAATCTATTCCGTGAAAAAAAGCGACGCAAAAAACTGTTTTTAGGAGCGGAAGTCAATTTTGTCGAAAAAATCATTTAGATAATTTCTCATGTCAAAGTTTCTGCGAATGTCGATTATGTAAAATATAACACTCATTCAACTATAGTTTACATTGAATTGTTCAATTACATGATCAGTAAAAATGCAAAATAAGTGTTTTGACGTAATTGTTCTCTGCCTCGTCCTAACGCATTCAATGCATTGAATGCATAATTGCATAAGCACTAGTGCAATATCAACATCTCGATAACCCGTTGCTCATAAATTGTAAAAATAAATTTGTCCCCTCTGCATCTGCCATTGGTATTTACAGCAATTTTCAATGTTAAAGATTCAGTTGCGGCTGTTCCTTGCAAAACTACACACGGCAACAAGATGAAGCTACTTCTATTGGTGACTGTTATTGGCATTGGCTTTGCACAGGTCTGTTTAGTACACATTTCGTAAGTGTGTGTCTGAATGTGAACTATTTAAGTATTTGGATCTTTTTATTTCCAGCTCTGTTCGAGCACTTCAATCACCACGACTGAGTCCTGTTCCGACTATTCAGCCCCTTTCAATTCGACTCCAAGTTTCAAAGAAGCATTTGAGAAAGTGATATTGAGTCCGGATGTAAATTTAACAGCGGTTTACAATACTTTCAGCGCTTTTCATAATTTTGTGGCTTGTGACTCAACCAAACTTGATGATATTACAGAAGGAGTTGTATGTACACTAGAATCTCGGAAAAGTTAATCGAAATGTCCCAAAGGGTCAAAGGTGGTGAACTTTTCTGAAAAATTACATTTTCTGGAAGGTTTGAAAAAACCAGGTTTCTTATCATTTCTGTGACATATGCTTCATTAGATTTTTAAAAAATCTTGTGACCAAATTTCTTTCCTTTTTGTAAAAAAAATTCAATGTCGTCAAAATTCGCTTAATTTTTTTGGACAATCAACTTTTGTGTGAGTTAACATTTCCGAGATTCTACTGTATTTTTATTGTAAACCAAAAATCGATAGCAAAATTAATCACTTTTTGGTAAATGTTCGGTTCTAGGCGCTTTTTTATTCCATCGTATATGATGTTGACTTCCAAATGCTGAATCCAACTCTTGTGGAATTGTACCGAGGCTTTCAAAATAAAACTTCTGACGAACAAAGTGCGATGGTACACGAAAACATGAAAAAAAAATTGGCAACACGTTTTCTAAGGTGCTTCAAAAGCTGAAATATTAATAGCCCTTCTGCGAAATGAGATCGATCCAAATAATAGCGGAAGTGTTAAAGAGGAATTGAGAGTGAGCATTGATATTTTTGTTAAATATTTCTTCAATATTATTATGCATAACAATTTTTATAGATTGATTCGTTTGTAACCATGTTACACGATGGATCGGGCTCATCTAAACGTGATGCATGCGAATTCGTTACATCTCTTGAAAATGATAACTTCAATTGCACTTAATATTCAACCAAATGGTTGGTGTGAAAATTGTAGGTATATCTTTTATATCTTACATCTGATTTGCAGAATGTTCAGTTCAAATTGCTTCAACTGATGTAATCTCAAAATGAAAGTGATATGATTGCCGAGTCCATATTCAAAGAAGTTCCACACTGTGTCGCAAATAAAAAGAAATATTTCATCTTTGATCATACCGAATGGCATTTGTCAAAGTCACGTTGAAAGCAAGAGAACGATCATCAAATCATCATTTGTTGCTATCATATCTCATGCCGCTCACTTCATAGAAGCATTCATTGCCGTTTGCTTCTTTTGCTTTACCATTACTTTGTTGATAACGAAAACGGTTAGTCATATGGTTTCATGCTCGGTCAGAAACGATGATAACGTGCGTATATGCGTATCCCGTTCAGCGGGTAATTTAGCGACTGATTATTTCTACAAATATTCTTTATTCCCGTTCAAGAAATCGTGAAACAACATGAATAATGTGAAATGAGAGAAATTGTAATCTTCATTTATTTTCGTTTTCGTTTCAACTGACTTCATTCATTGCGTAGGAACTTGATATGGATTGGCCTGATATGTGACGCTTTACATCAATTGCAGCTATTTTTATTCTAAAAATTTCAGTTGAAAGAATTCTCCTGACATAAAAATGGTTTCAGTGATATTAGGGGGAATTGGAACACATAACTTGTGAGAAAAAGTTCGTTTTACGGATATAAGACTACTTATTCTATGCTGAATTAGTATGCACCGCACACTTTCGCTATGCAAATGTAGTAGTCCTTCAGGGCTGGAATTCTAAGTCATTCCACCAAAATCGTTCGGAATTATTTTTTTCGTACATAAGACCATATTGGAGTGAAAGAGAGAGATTTCACTATTTTTCAGCGTCCCACCGCAATTATTTCTCACACAATCCACTCTTCCTTGAGTTATCGGAATAATTCCGGTGGAACGCTGAGAAATAGTGGAATCTCTCTCTTTCACTCCAATATGGTCTTATGTACGAAAAAAATAATTCCGAACGATTTCGGTGGAATTCTTAGAATTCCAGCCCAGCTGAGCTCAACATTAATACTACATTAATACTACAACATACATCAACGGTGCATACGAATTCTACATAGAAAACGATTCTCTATAGAGAATTCTCCCAATATATATTTGTATGTGCTGAAGTATGCGGCCTTAGTTTATGTGTCATGACAGCTAAGACAATTACGATACACGTCCTAAGATGGCGCTAAATTCTACGTCATATTTTCATATGGAGATTTCTGTTGTTGTCGTACTGTGGTGTATTCGTTCGAATTTATATAGAATACATCGACAGTATGAACAATAATATTGTTGTTTGTGCAAACATAAAATGCATACCAATTGATCTTTGATCATCGAAAAGGCACAAACGTTCACGCTGTCAGCCATTTTTATTTCTTTATTTTTCATTTGCGTAAACAAATTTATTCGTTTTGTTTTTCATTCAAGTAATATAACTGCTACATTCCATTATATTCTGAAAGGATTTGGCGAAACACGGTATGTAAATTGATTATGGAGAACAATTCATGGATAAAAAAAAACCTTATTTTGGTCACTCAATACGTAATTTCACAATACATTCAATTTATTACAGAAGTCATCAAAAATGGACAAGTTATGGAAGAAGGAAACTGGGCGAGCTAAATACGTCGATTTGTTCGCATCTGTACAGAGATCAGCACTACGACAAATGCAACAAACATAGGGGTATTGTAAAGACCATAAAATATGTGTACTTCATCAATTTTATCAAGCTCTTTCCAAGTTTATGCATAGTGTCGAGCTTTTGTTCAAGCTCCACCATCTAAATGTACAGTGAAATAATTTACGGGCACGGCGTAAGATGACTTTTTTTCTGGTCAAAAAAGTTGCAATATCCCTTTGGCAACAAAGTCGGAAAAACAATCAAAAATCAACCGAATGGCGCTCGAAGGGAAACGAACAATTCCGCCAAGAAAATTGACCCGAAGCAAAAATTTTCTGCGACAAAAGCTTGTGTTTTGCTGAAGTTGGCACTGAAAACGTTGCGTTAGCATATTCAAATCGATCAGCATGTTTCTTCCGCGCACTAATGTTGGATGAAGTCTTGATCGATATTTATCTTGCCATAAAGGCAAATTTACCTGATCGCTTAAGACCGAAACTAGAGCAACGTAAAAACGATACTTTGAGCTTGATGTCAATGGTTGAGCGTAGAGAGAGACTCAAACCGAAACTAAGTTATGAAGCTGACAAAAATTTCGCGTGCATGGCAAACGTCGTGCAGATAAAATACAACCAAGAATTTGATCGTCATCTGATTGCGAAGTGCGACATTCCAGTTGGGAAAACTGTTTTGGTTGAAAATGACATTCTTCAAGTCAGCGATGAACCGTCGGTGTGTTATTCATGTTTTCGAGAATGCATGAATTGTATGGCCTGTCCAAACTGCCCCGATGCTATGTTTTGCAGCGATAATTGCACAAATGACGATCAAATTCACAAATTTGAGTGCGGCACATTTTTTTTCGCACCTACCACTTCCAGTTAGATTTGAGATCTAAACACTTTTGTTTGCCATCACTAGTTTTCCCAGCGTGTACAGTCTGATGCAGTTTGTTGAAGGTGCATTGCACGAAAATCCCAAAGCATTACCGACAACATTGAACAATCCCAAGTCAAAATATCATTTCTTCTTCAAACTTTCAACATCAGCACTGCATGATACTGCACTGACGGAAGCTGACATGGTTTATAAATGTATGATGGCTTTGCCAAAAGTGAAAAGTATGTTTGATTGTGCTCGAAAGAAGCATTTCCTCATGCATTTGGCTATGCACCACGTTCTAATTTACAACACGAATACATTTGAATATGAACATTCTAATCTCTTACCAAACGTTTCTTCTCTCATGAATCATTCATGTACTACCAATATGATCACTTGTAGTTTAGGAAGCAATTTTGTCGCTGGTATAGGACGACCAATAAAAACGGGTGAGCAGCTTTTCATCACTTATTCAAATGAACTCGATGGAATGCCGTCAAATGAACGAAAGACAAAATTAAAATCTCGTCGAGGCTTTGATTGCAAATGCGAAATTTGTGAACCAAAACGTGCACCAATCAATCGGGAGATGATCATATCGGATCCATGTTACCAGTATATCGTCAAGAGTAACATTGATATAAATAATCAAACTGAATATGCCATCATTAAAAAAAGTGCATTGAATTTCTAAACAAACTCGGACGTTCAGCATGGTCATCGGAAATTGAATTGGTTTTTGGTGTATACACAAAATGTATCATAAATAAGTGTAGTTATTATTTTTTGCGTTAAGTTTGCTGTCGCAAGAATATATTCATAAGCATCGAAATAAGAAAATATAAAAAATCAATGCACAAATAAATATCAGACGAATTAACAAAAATGTCGAAAAAACGCCTTTTGAAAAATCACAATCAATTCACAACTGTACAGGGTGGTCCACTCGAAGTGTAACCGATGGATTTTATGCAGTGCGAATAGTACATTATTCCTGAAACCAATGCAGTTTAACCACAACAACGAGAAGCAAAGCGAAGCTCCGTGATTTTGTTTTTTAAATTAGACTATCAATATGCATGTGTTGTTATCACAACGTATGAAACTGATGTCATGAGTAGCGTTCTACTTCATGCACTCATGAGCGTTTGCTTCTTTTGCTTTTCCAGTGCTTTGTTGATAGTGAAAACGGTTAGTCGTATGGTTTCAGGGCTTTGTTATGCGATAAATCTATCAGCATAAATGAATTTAGCAAATAAATTCCTCAGCCAATATTTCATAAACGCTATTTTTCAGTATAAGCTGAAAACAAGACTAGTAAAAGCTTCTGAAGTATTGGCTGAGCTGTAAGTGAATCCTGGATCCGACCTGATGCAATGTGTTCTGGAAATAGAGTCCTCCAGCCTCAAATTGGAATTTGGACTTGGCAAAACCGGAAGAAAATATGAATTTTTTAATGCAGATGCATTACAACAACGCAATGCAACGCAACGCATTCGATTTATCTGATAAATTTATTTGATAAATTTATTTATGCCGATAGATTTATCGCATAGCAAAGCCTGATGGTTTCATGCTGTATGAAAAGTTCGATGATAATTTGCACACTGCGCATATATTTCTTTTTCAGCGCTTAGTATTTTTCCCCATATTTTTTGCCCTAGTCTCAATGAGTGATTATTTCTACAGAATATTCTTCATTCCCATTTAAGAATTAATGAAACAACATGAATGATGTAAAATGAGAGAAATTGTTATCTACATTTATTTTCGTTTTCGTTTCAACTGACTTCATCGAAACGCGTAGAAACTTGATAAGGAATGGCTCCATATGGCACTTTATATCGGTTGCTGCTATTTTTAATTCGAAAGATTCAGTTGAAAAATACTTCTCCTTGGCATCGATCGCACACTTAAAGTGCTCTCAGTGCACAGCACTTTTTAGTGCAATTGTGACTTCAAGAAAAAGGCGTCTAAAATATTTCAAACCTTCGATTTAAGTTACATTTTCATTAAAATGTCATTTCAATCAGACTGCAGTAATTTCGGTGAGTTTTAGATCTTTTCATAACAAAATGCAGCACTTTTAAATTCAGCATAATAAACATTTTATCAAAACCGTAAACAGTTGTTGAAAGCTCCAATTGAAAAAGAACTGGAATATTTATTCTTTGCTTTTTTCAGGATCAAAATGATAGCCGATAGAAAAGGAGGATACTTTTCAATTCAACGTACGAAGGAACAGCCGAAACATTGGCCAATGTATTCACTGCAGTGTGAATGGGAAAGGATTTTACCTCACCTTGAAGTTCCAATCTCAAGTTGCCGATCACCACATCATCTCAAATAATATTTCGTAGTGAACGAGTTTTTCTTTTTTTTTCTCGTCACTTTCAAGTTAAATCATATCCATCGCAGTAATTTTTTGTAAGAAATCTGCAAAGCATAATTTTTGCACCAGTTTTCAAATGTCAAGTTATTGCTCAAGTTTTTTCGTTTAGATTTTTTTTTGAAATTTTCTGGCTGATTTCTGGGATTTTGGGAAGACACCACTTATTTCATACTCACATCAATTATTCAATTAAAACAGCAGTGTCTATTTTCAAAAATGGAAATAATTTAGATGTTGAAAGAAAAAGTAAAAAAAATCAGTTGTTTTGTTAAATGTATTTTCTAAGTGTTTATTCATAGTGTTTTTAAAAGCAAAGAATTGTAATGATAGATAAATATAAACTTAGATTTAAGAATGAATTTGATGTGAAACAATAAAATGAATTAAATCAAGGATTCAGGCAATTGCCTTGAATAGCTGCAATGTGCAGTGGCGTCTTTCCACCATTGTCTTTAGCATTGACGTCGGCGCCATTATTAATAAGTACTTGAATGGTATATCGATGTTATGAATTGGAAATCAATCAAAGTGAAGCGATTGAATGTGGATTTAAATAAGAGTTCAATTGTGAAGCGGTGTAAAATAGTTTGCTCCCTAGTTCTACACCCCTTCATGATGCAGCTTGGAATGGTAATTGAACTCTTACTTCAATTCAGGACATTCGAATGCCACTCAACTGCTCATCAATAATAAAGCCAACATCGAAGCTAAGGACAATAATGGAAATACGCCACTGCACATTGCAACTATTCAAGGCAATTGACTAAGTTCTTGATTCAAATCGCAAACATTATTTGTTATTCATTAATTGGTTTAAAATTCTCATCCACACATTAGATCTCAAAAGTACAACTGCACTTCAAAGAAAAGCCGATCATATTTTCTTTGCAATTTTTATGTAGAAAAAGAAAATTGTCCGTAGCATTTCTCCTACGTGAAGATGTAATGACAAAACAACTGGTGCACAAATTATGCCTTGAAATGTATCACTTTGAAGATTTCACACAAAAAATGACTGCGATGGATATGATTTAACTTGGAAGTGACGAGAAAAAAAGAAAAACTCCTTCACTACGAAGTATCATTTGAGATGATGTGATGATCGGCAGTTTGAGACTGGAACTCCAAGGTGAGATAAAATCCTCTCCCATTCACACTGTGGCGGGTACTTTGGCCAATGTTTCGGCCTCCCTTCGTACGTTGAATTGAAAAGTCTCCACCTTTTCGCTCGGTTATCATTTTGATTCTGAAAAAAGCGAAAAATAAATATTTCAGTTCTTTTTCAATTGGAGCTTTCAACAACTGTTTACGGTTTTGATAAAATTTATATTATTCTAAATTGAAAAATGCTGCATTTTGTTATGAAAAGATCTAAAACTCACCGAAATTATTGCAGTCTGATTGGAAGCGACTTTTAAATCAAAATATGACTAAAATCGTAGGTTCGAAACATATTTTAGTCACTTTTTTTTCTCAAGGTCACAATTGCACTGCCGTGCAATGAGAGCACTTTAAATGTGCGACCGATGCCGAGGAGAAGCGTTTTTTAACTGAAACTTCAAAATTAAAAATAGCAGCAACTGATGTAAAGTGCCACATCAGACCATTCCTTATCAAGTTTCTACGCATTTGGATGAACCCATGAAAAAATTCACATCAAAAATGTGCTCGTTTTGTATGGAATTTTTGGTGTAAAAGTCTGACTCATACCAAAGATGATGTTAAGTTGGTATGAGCCATACTAATATGGAGAACATTTTGAGCACATTTTTTATGTGGATTTTTTCTATGGGAAGCCAGTTGAAATGAAAACGAAAATAAATGTAGATTAAAATTTCTCTCATTTCACATCATTTATGTTGTTTCATGATTTGATAAATGGGAATGACGAATATTCTGTAGAAATAATCATTTGTTGAATAAACCGCTGAACGGGATACGTAAATGCGCACTTTATCATTGTTTCTGACCAAGCATGAAACCATACGACTAACCGTTTTCGTTATCAACAAAGTAATGGTAAAGCAATAGGAGCAAACGGCCATGAGTGCTTGTATGAAGTGAGCGACATGAGTTTCAAGCGATATGATAACAACAAATGTATAGATCGTTCTCTCATTCTCGCCAACGACGAAACATTTCTTTTGATTAGCGACACAGTGTGAAACTTCTTTGAATATGGATCAAGCAATTACATCACTTGGAGATTTCAACAGTTGAAGCAAATTTGATTGAACATTCTGCAAATCAGAGGAAACAGAAATGATAATATGCCTTGAATTAGAAACTCAAAAAAGATAAATACTACTACATGACCACTTGGAATTTCAATTATTCTATGTTTTATAACATTTTTTCGGTTTTTGATATTTAGTACAATTGATCTAGACTAGTTAACATACAATAATAATGAGTATCTCTCCATAATAACGAGTAAGCATCCCAAATAAATGCAGCAAAAATTAAATAAAGCCTCATTGAGTTCATGTTTGCGATGTGCAAGTCAATTTAACACTAATCTGTGGCAAATGCACTTGTTTAATAGCAAACTAAAACTTTGAAGCGATAATTCTAATAAATATCTCATACTCATTGAGTGATAACACACAAACAGTTTGTTGGGATTGCCAACAAAAGGTTTCGAGGTAGAAAATAAACTGAAAAAATAAACCGAACAAGAAATAAAACACACGGCGTTTGTGTACTTTGTAATTTTATTCGTCTCTTTGCTAATCTCTATTCAACTGAGAAGTAGACCATAGTCCATCTTCTATTTATATGATTCGCGCTTCCAGAGGAAGTGCGATTGGCTTTTATAAAAATGAAAAACGTTGTTCGATTTCGAACACAGTTTGATTTGGTTAACCAAGTCGGAATCCTATATTGCTATCAGTTGTTTACTTTATTGCCACAGTAATTTGTAGAAAACTAGAGGTGCGTTTGTTTGATTTATTTGAAAAAGCCATGTACAAACAGTTTAAACAACAAAATAAAGCAATATATCAGTACCATTTGTGTTCACTTCTACGTCTATGGATAGTTCTGAAAGTGTGTTATTATCAATAAAAGTATTCGTAGTCTACAATTCATCTCGTAGTGGTTTTATTGTTCCTTCCGATAGCTGCATAGCTCTCTGTTCAATGCTCGCCCAAAGTTCAAAAGCTTTTTGATTTGGCCCAACGCCAGTTGTCAATCCACCGTTAGTGATATCAAGATAATGAACTTCGTCATTATTTACTGGTTGGAATCCACCTAAAGGGTCATTTTGATGCGTTGGTTTACTGTTTGATCAGAAATAATATGTTAAAATGATTTTCATTCTATTCTAGGTTGAGTACCCTGTAACCTTGAAATAAACGCAATCAAAGTTGGAAATTAAATCAGTCTACGCGATTCTTACCCATATTTTGCGAAATTCGTAAATATTTTGCTGATGTGATCGATGGCCTGAAGACTTATTTTCGAATGTTCATCATCTTTGCTGGAAATAACTTCATCGTATAATGACTGAACCATATGGCACCTATAAATACGGAAAAAATCACATTCAAATTCAACCATACATTTGATTATCATTTTTTTTTTCAATGCAATTTATTGCCTGAAGTTATACATATGGCTCACCGAAACAAATAGAACAAATCTTCAGCATGAGAAGCGCCAGGTAATTTGGCGGAATCGGGATTTTGCGATTTGAATGCATTCAATTTCGAATCAACTGAAAACCTGTGTTCAATGAATTTCAAAATTTGAATGTTTTTCATTTCACAGCAAACAAAAAATGACGCTAAATTGTCTAAACAAATTACCAAGAGTAGTATGTTTTGCCCTTGGATTTGGCCGCATGAGTCTTAACAGCCTTATCGATTCCATAACGGAAGTTAAGGTCCGATAACAATTCAGCATACTGGTTAATGCTTCGATCTTCTTTTGCACCATCTCCGAAATAAAATTTGTGAATTTCAGCGGTTAAATTACGATGCTCCTAGAAAATTTTGGGAAAATGTTAGTGAACCTGCGGAAATCGACGTTCAAAAGTAAATTTAAACATTATTCAACAATGGGCTTGGTGTACGCTTCGAAGAAATTCATGTCCTAAATGTTCAATCAGTTCACATGAATTTAAAGATGAACACGACCCAAGAAAACTATAAATAATACATTGAAGAAGTCAGGAACCCAATCTTAGGGCAAAATGTTCAACAGGTTGTTTGCCCAGTGAAATCAACACAAGCTTTTTCTTACAAGCTTTGTTTTCGGAAGAGTGAATACTGAAAAATGGTAACCTGTAAAATGGTAAGTTACCTCGGAATTAGATGAAAATCGCAGTCCTCTAAATGGCAATTGGATATCAAACTTTTCAGGTTGATCTTTTAGTGGTGGCAACATCGAAAGAAATCCCACCATTTCCTAATATTAAAATCAAATGAAATACGGAAATGAATTCATAAACAGTCAGAAAACCCCAAACTAACAATATCATCAAGAAAAACATTAATAAAAAAAAATCAAATTCAAATAATGCAAACCGCAGACGTCATTGTGAACAAAACATCGACTTCTACTTTCTTTGTTTCGTAAATATGTTTCGGAGTGTCCACTATGAATGGTTGTATCGCATCTTTTCCTATTTCGAAATTTTACATTTTTGCAAAGAAAAATTATTATAATGAATTATTTCAATCAAATCAAATCTTTTTATGTTTCTAAATTCAACACAAAGACTCAGCTTTAAGACAGCAAAATCTCAACATGAAGACTTACTTTCAATAACTGGCGTAAATGGGAGTGGAAGGCGAAGTTTTGTTTCCGCAATATTGATGTTTTGACTAAGTTTATTGGGTGGAGCTGATTTCAAAAATGCTACCAATTCTTCAATGGTGTCCTTTGGTTCATCCAATTCCCTGGCCATTTGGTAAGCGAGTTCTACATGGTCATTATTGTCAGACATTGCCCAATAGTTGTCGACAACTCCGCTCATTATAATCGCATTGCGAAAATATTTTCGCGATTCAGCCGATAGCACGTGGAGATGAACAGAAGCACCTCCTATGATTTACATGCGTTAGAGTTGAAACAAAATTCAATAGTAGACATTTAATTATGTAATTTGGATTTTGGGTGATATCAGATTTATATTCATATTCAAAATATTCGTTTTACCTGCGCTTTCACCGAAGACCGTGATTCGTTTATTGTCTCCACCAAATCGACCGATATTCGAATGGATCCACTTTAAAGCCAATTGCTGATCTTTCAGACCCATGTTACCGGAGATTTCCGGGGAGTCAAGCGACAAAAAGCCCAACAGTCCAAGTCGATAATTTATTGTTACCACAATCGTTTGCTTTTCAATTATGAAATCTGGCCCATGGAAATAATCATTGCTCGAACCTTCAGCATATCCACCGCCATGAATGAACAACAGCACAGCCAATTTCTCGTCCGTTTTTATGTTAGCTAGAATTATTTTTATCAAATTGAATTATATCTTTACATAATCAATGATCTTAAGAAATTTCAACGAATCAGAGTGAGGAAAAGTAGTCGTAGAATATAGCTTCTAGTCTTGAAAATCCTGCACTTTGATTTTCACTTTGTACCTTGTATCAATTTTACCGTACATTTTTGCTCCAATAGTTTGATCGCATTCTAATTGAGGCATAATTTGCAGAGAGTGCTATTTCGCTGCTGAGCAAGCCTGGGCTGAGCTGAGCTGAATTTTCTAATTCCAGCGCCTGAAGCGTTATTTTATCACTGTGCACAATCTTTATTGTTTGCAAAGTTCCACGATGTTTTTCAATTTTACTAGGTTAGGTGGAGTTCGGTTAGCAATGAAGGTGGCTGAATTAGCAATTTTATCTCAGCTCAGGTCTGTTCAGTCGCGAAATAACACTCTATGATAATTTGTGAAATGTCACTATTAAAAGTCCAATATTTTGGTAAGAATTGATTTTCTCGATTTTAGTGGTTCATTTTGATGATTTTGAATTTTACAAAAAGTAAGTGTGTTCACGGTCACACACAATTTGATCGTTGATAATAATCAATTTGTTACTTTTATCAATATTCACTACCTACCCGTGTGAAAAAATAGTAACTGAGCAGTCAGTTAACTAATTTGGGACAAAAATGACTTACTTTGATTGACATTTCAGTACAAAGTGTAGTGTAAGTCTATCATAGTTAACTGAAATCATTTGAAGTTACAAGTCAATCTATGTTGCTTCATTTGGGACCAAGTGATTTTCTTAGAACAAAAATATAAATTCAATCAACTAAAGTCAACTGAAGTTATAGTCAGTCAGTCATTTCTTTTTCACACGGGTAATCGAACACTTATAATATTTTCAACGTTTTTTTTCTACATACACAAGCTACATAATCTTGCAATGATAACGCGCAGACACTTGAACTTGAATAAACAATTTCCGCCTTTTGGATCAACCAGAACTGTATTTTTAAGTCAGTTTTAAATGGTCCAATAATTTACCTGGCACAAAAATGTTCAATGTTAAACAATCTTCACTCTGTGCAAATGGTTGGGGAACTAACTTTCCGGGTTGTACACAAATTTTTCCATGTTCAAATGCATCGAGCACATGATTCCAAGACTCGACTGGTTCAGGTACCTTTAGGTTATGAAAAGATGCACATTATATTTCACTTCACACCTCTTCTTCTTTGCAATTTTGAAATTATTTTTACTTTCTTAATCAAAAGACTGAAAACACAACGAAAAGCGATGGAATTTTTAATAAATAAATTTTGTTGAACCTTAAACCGTAAATCCCCAATAGGTGGCTTTGCGTATGGAATCCCTTTGAACGAATAAAATGGAATTTCTTTCAAAAGTGTCAATTTTTGCACACCTCTAACTTGACCGTCAAGAGTTTCAACAATTTTATATTGTTCAGCCGCTACGTGCGTCGTGAACACGGAAATTAGCGCAATGAAAAATAAATAAACGTGCACCAAGAACATCTTTACTATGTAATGACACGATCCAAACTAATTAGCAGCGATTTATTTGGAATCAGACATAAGCAATTTGCACTCTATTTATTTACTGTAATTCTGATATCAGATGAAAAACCTCTAGACGAGGTTAAAATGGAGTGACGCTCCTGTGCGTGGATTTACCACTCAAAATGACTGATATCATTTTGAGTGACGCTTTGACGTTGTATTATCTCTGGGTACGAAGTTCAAAAGTGTTTTTCGCATTCACTATGAAAATTTATTTACAATAAGGAAAAATATCGCGTCATGACTTTTGAATTTAGTCTCCAAGTCAAACTTTCAAGCGTTTTGCCGTCCAAAAGTCGTGACGCGATATTTTTCCTTATTGTAAATAAATTTTCACAATAGTGAATGCGAAAAATACTTTTGAACTTCGTACCCAGAGATAATACAGCGTCAAAGCGTCACTCAAAATGATATCAGTCATTTTGAGTGGTAAATCCACGCACAGGAGCGTCACTCCATTTTAACCTCGTCTAGAGGTTTTTCATCTGATATCACTAGTTTTGTAAGGCAATTATTCTCGGAAAAAATACACTTTTGCCAGAAATATGTCTATTTTAAGGTCTTATCATTGGGAAGTTGTAATTTTTCGGGTAAAACATTTGCATCCACATTTCACAAGTTTTGTAAATTTCCACTTTCATTAAAAAAAAGTTCCATTTTCTTATTGGACATTGTAAAATGTGATTAAATTTCGAAATATCCATTAAAAGAGTTTTGAAGTAATTTTAGACTCATTACTTCATTGAAACATATTAATTTCCAACCACCAAAGCTCTGGAAAGTGCATTTTTTATGTATCCCCCGAACAAAAGTTCAATTTCATACATTCAGATGCCAAAATACCGATTTATGACCAAAATGACAACGAAATGGATATTCAAGTGTTCGTGTAGTACCATTATTTTCACGAAAAAATAGCAATTTTCTAAGACCAAAATGTCGTCAGAGGTCTATTTCACGTGTTTTCCGAACAAAAATGTCATTTTCAGTGAAAATAGAGCAAGTTGAAAAATTCACTTCAATCCGACCTATTTTTCGGGCATGAAATGACCTCAGATCGCATTGTGACCACTTTTAATCGATTGCTCGTCGAAAATTGAGCGGATATGGTCTTTCATGAGCCTTTTTCAGCCAGTAGATGCGTATTTTTGGCAGCAATTTCATCGTAGAATGCGACTCTTCGTACAAATTCCGTTCATTGATGAATTGCCTATGCCCAGAACTTCGAAATTTGAATTTTCCCGGATATGTGGCATATGCCATTTTGTTGATATGGTAGCCGGCTACAAACGCTCAGTTTTTGGTAAAACATTGTCGGGCTGATTTTTGAGAAATCGCGTTTGGTGTGAAATTCAAGGGGGTCGATTTTTCATAAAAATCGACTTTTTTCTTTTATATCACATAAACATTGGCATGTGTGTATGGAACTTTTTGAAGGTCTTCTCAAATAATTACGAGCTGACTTTGCCCGATGGGCGTCTGAGTTGATCTAGTGTGCGAAATAAATACTTGAAAAAATCGTATACATGCAGGCTAGTGAAGCCATAGCCAGCTCTCCTGTAATGCAAATGTCAATCTGAGGACGGGTTTCGATGTGGCCCAACACCAGCTACAACTTGGGCATATCGACACCAGAATCTGTGGGGGTCAAGAAAATTCGTGGACACACGGAGACACGCACATCCAAATCAATACTTTCATAGAAAACCATGGTCAAACTGCCAATGCCCATCACTTTTTCGTTTTTGGACCAATCGGAGCGCTTGGACCGGCGTTGGAAAGGTGGCGAGGTGGAGCTTCTCTTGGCCACCTCAGACCACCCCCTGGGTACCCCTTTTGTGGGATATGGATATAGAATTGAAAATTTATCGGAATTTTGAAACCACTATATTTTTGTCTAGACCAAACTTTAGTGTCCTGAGAAAATAGCATATTTACTGTATATATACTCGTGACGCAAAAACTGGCATTTGGCTTGAAATGCACAGTTGTTGGAGCGTCACTTGTCGGACTATCGTCCTACGTGATCACCCAACACAAATTGATAAATTACTTTTGCAAATAAATACACAAATCAACTGGGTAGTATAATAATCGGCGTTATTTAGTTCAATGTATGACAAGTTGCAACTGTCCCCAATCTGAATTTCAATCTCTGCACAAATATTTGAATTCTTGATAAAGAACAAGCTGGCGATGAGTATATTAGTTTGAAACCGTGGGCTCCAGATCAACTATGGCACTTTATTTACTTCGACTGTAGACAAAATTTACTACACGACAATTCCACACGAAACCGAACAAGAATAGGATTTCACCTCTCCGATTTCGCTCAAACTTGGTGTATGAACTTGTTATGGCCAAAAACTCATAAAGCCAAAAAATTGGGGTGACCACGTCTGATTAAAAATTAAGGTGATTCGTATTTTGCGAAAAATTGACTAAAGCACTTTTTTCACATTTTTAACTATGAAAAGTGTGGTATAAACTTTCAAAACTATATGCATGGTTCAATAGATAATCGATGGAGCTACAAAAAAATTTTTCTACGACCACCCCATCCGGGCCCATTCAGGCCCTCAAATATGGGTTCAAAGTATAAAAAGTGAAAAATCTCATTTTTACGGGGGTGTCAAGTGGCCGTTTTTTTCGCTTAAACGTTAGCCCACCTCGAGTTCTTCAATTTAACGAAGATAAATCACGTGTGCTACCCAGTCCATAATTCAGGAGAAAATTATGTGTGTTCAAGAGTTGTTGAGATAATGTGTTTGATTTAATGCATTATGGCGAGTGAAACTAGAGGAGGGAGTCTCAAAAACGTATATCGAATCGAACATATAATGGAATATTGGTATATCGCCCCTTGAGTACTAAGAAGATTGTAATCAGATAGCAAACGTCTCTAACACTCGTTTCATTTGGCAAAACCAATTTCTTCGTTTATCAACGGAATATCAAATTCCAAATGAGTCCCTTTGTACCGAAAAGATGTGATAACGTCGCATCGTTGTTATTCAAACAAGATTCAACAATCGACATTCTCCAGCTATTGATTTTATTGTCATTGTCACAATGTTGTTTTTTCTGTCATTTTTGTCGTTACTTTGTTTCAATTGAAATGATCGTGAAAGTCTTCACGATTTTTGTCGCTGGGTATGTATTCATGATTTTTTGTTTTATTCCAAAAACGTGTTGGCATGTACAATGGTGAAATGGATTAATATATTTTCACCTCACGTAACAACCTTCGATCTGGATTGAATTCAGTATCCCCGAAAGTTTGAAGTGAATCACAGTAAAAGTGGAAAGAACTGAAAATGAAATTGCCTATACTATTCTTGCTAATTATTCTTCCTGGTTATAGGTTGTGTGCTGAGACCAATTTTAGGAGCTTACTTGGCGATACGTTCCAATCTGCCAGCGATGCCGTCGGTAAAGGTATCGGGTTTTGCGGCAACATCGCTTCAAACTTTATGGATGGTGTCGAAACTGCAACAAAGCGTATTTATCATACAATTTTTGGATGTAAACATGAATGTGAAACACCATATGCGACAGGTACAACTGAGCCAGTTTCAACTTCACAAATGCCACAAAGTCCATCAGGCGAAGATGAATCAAACCCAGAGGCAACTGTAGCTGAATCAATTACACTAGCAACGAAGGGAGTCACAAGCAAGGATGCGGTAGATGAAGTTTCCCCTGTGACAGAGTCAAATGGACCAACAGAAAAAACTTTAATTCAATGCACAGCACTCATTATTATTTTAGTCACTCTTGCTACAATTTTTATTTCAATTATTTTTTATTTCATGTTCATTTGTTGTGTGTCCAGAGGGCAAACCAAGTGGGGAAAATCTATGCTTAAATCCATAAAATATTATAAATCGTATAGTCTTAAAGGCTAGGTTTATTATATAATTTCTATTTAATACAATTTTGCAATAAACATTATAACAAATTTCCCATTTTTTTCTTATTCTACCTATTGCTACCTATTGTGCTTTTGTTCTTTTCATTCAGTTTGAAAGTAGTACGAATTGTTTTTCTAGTTCATTCTTGATTTTAATGATTTGTTGGATTTTTTTTGTCATTGATTCGAGAATGAGTGAGACTCAATAAGAATTCGTCGGCTCATAAGTTATTTACCTCGAAAGGTGTGTTGAAAAAGATTACACAATTCGTTACAACTGGCAACAACAAGCGCGAGCGACGAAAGAACATTCGAACTCGTCCATATACACGCAATTTCAAACATTTTTCTAAAATACAATGTATTTTTTTTAAACCTTCATTTTGATACGTCACTAACATAATTTACACTCAAGTATCTACTTTGTGTATAAAAACGCCATTTAAGGTGCTGCCATCTTGCGTATCACTCACGGAAACTTAGTACTCACAGATTGGACAAAACGACGAGCATGTGGAGTGACTGGAGTCAATCGCTTCCCTGACGAAAAAAATATCATGAACAAAAGAAAAATTTACATAAAACGAATTACATACGTAATCCAAACTTTTCCGCTCCGCAGCAATTTAGTTTACCTCCCGCTTAATGTTTAACCAAAATTTCAATGAACCCTTTTTCCATAGCATTTTTGACCTTAAAATATAACTATTTCGACCATTTTCCATACAAAAGTGTCATTTTCGAACAAAATTTCAAGAAATGTTGATTTCGGATGAAATTTATGGGCAAGTAGGTGTTCGGATGTTTGAAGGCTCCCATTATTTTTGCAAAAAAATATCAGTTTGCTTTGACCAAAACCCTAAAAAATGGCTTTCTGTGTGATTTTTCATATAAAAGTCTATTTTTCGAGGAAAATTTCAAGAAATGTCGATTTTGGACCAAAGAACTTGTTGGAAACTTTGCCCTAAGATTGCGTTCCTAACTTCTTTCAATGTATTCCTTATGGTTATTTGGGGTGCGTTCATCTACCGATTGTACTGATTTGACATTTGGGGCATAAATTTGATCGAATTTCCAACAAGTTTTTTATGGGCATTTAGTAGCTTTTTTTTGGTACAGTCTGAGCGATATGTCTTGACCGCATTGACAGTTGTTGGCAATTCTGCGCCTTATAACATATAGTCATGCTACTCACTCTACAATGCTGTAATGAGACATGCAATGACATTTCGAACGAATGACAAGCAACCGACTTGCGATTGCAAGGAGCGAGCTGTGCGTTTGTATGTATTGGTTGGCATTTGAATCTGAAAGATGTTGTGTGTGCGTCTCACTTTGTCATTTATAATCATTCGGATGGCGCATTGAAATGGAATATAAACATAAACACATCAACTGCGTTCATTCTCGTCACTCATTTCATTGCAGCACTGAATTTATAAAATGAACAGCGCCATACATTTAAATATTGGTGAATATGCTGAAAAAAATTCGCACTCATTTAATGAGTGTATCGCATGTGGATGAGATGAAGCAAAGCGAAAGAGAAGCGCGCAACTCCACACGAACGAACGTGCATACACTTCGTCACTCCATCACGGCCGTATTCAGCCATACGCTTGGGTGAGCTCAGCTCACCCAAAAATTATTTGAGCTCACCTAAAAATGCTCGACTCCCAAAATTATTTTAGCTATAGTTTTCGCTGTAGTTAAGAATCCTCTGAAAAATTTTGCTCGCTCCGCTCGCAACTCATTTTTTTTCATTTGAACATTACACAAATTATATTTTTCTTACACTTTACCAACATAACTGAAGCCAAATATGATGATTAAAGTGAAAACATTTTGACCACATCAATGCAAAAGTCAACTATATTGAAAAATTTCCTAATTTCTCTAATTATAGTACGATTTTCTAACTGAATACTGAAAATCTATATTTCTGTAGATACGTAATTTCTAGCGAATCGTTTGAGTTATTTTCCTATTGATAATAACTAATTTACAATGGCTGTCGTGTGTATTGGTTTTTCAAGAAAAATTTCTGCATCAAATTGACAACATCAACACAGTGTAAACCGTTGTCTTAAATTGATATGTTAGTTCTGACGTGGCATATTATAAAGTTCAAGCAATACAATACGAATAACAATTTCAAATTACTACAGACACTAAATTGAATCTGATGGGATTAAGAATCCTGATGATTCGCTAGAAATTACAAATCACGTGTTTCACCGTGATATAGTGTGAATCTGTGAATGAAGCGTTTTTGGAATAAAAGGAATGAAGTTCCAAGGGGCTGGGATCTCTATAAAATCACATTTTATACATTATTTGATTATTTGTGGCTTTTACACTAGACAGAATCGATTTTCAAAATTAATGACAGTTTCATAATCATCAAATTTTGCTGCGCTCACCCAAAAATTCTCTCCGCTCATCCAAGAAATTTGTGCTGGCTACGGCCGTGCACTCCATCGTTAGAATACGGACACAAACACATAGTATTCATTGACTATGTTCTAGTTGCGCATCACAGCACTCATTTCTCCGCTATGACTCTGTGTTCGTATATGTGTATTAGAAACGAATGGTGAGTGAAGAGCGCATTGTAAAACTATGGAAGATCTCCATATTGGATGTGCTGTACTCAATGTGACAGTTGTTTGTGTGTATGCATGCACTAGCTTCGATGCTAACACAGAATGAGCATGACGACTTTATGTGCAAATAGGTTTATCTCACTCCCGCTACATAAAATCGTTGTGTTTTTGTTCCGTACATTGTTTGGTTGGCACAACCGTTCTTGTTTTTCAGCATTATTTCTAAATGTCAATGCGGTCAAGACATATCGCGCAGACTGTACTTCCCGTACAAAAGTGTAATTTTTCAAGGTTATTCAGGTCCTCAGTCGGAGGCTTATGGTACGAAATTGGTAGATCAGAAAGGGCTCAAAATCAATCCGAAGCTTTGTCTCAACATGCCAAAACTTTTGGCTTTTACAGATCTCAATTATCTTGTCAACGTTTTGAGATAATCGGCGAACAAAAAACGCGGACGCGAATGCGGACGCGGACGACGCCATACGCACATCGCGATTTTGCACATTTTTCATAGTAAACAACATGTTTTTGGAGGCAGATAGGTCTTGATCGATAGGATTTGTTCCCATCTACATTGCCTAGTGTACAGATATGTGCTTTTTAAAGTTTGGCGTGACGTTATAGTGGTCCGAAAGTGGAGATGTCATGAAATTCAGGCTAGTAAAACCAATACTTTTCCATACAAACAAAGTTTGCGGAAAAGTAATTCCTTTATTAGTTGGTTGTTATTGTTATTTTGTCTCGTTTTGATTGGTGACTTTTCACTTTGATTGGCCAACAAATAATCATTTGGTTTTATTTTAGAACTTTCAATAGCGGACGCAATCGTAATGCTACAGGTGGGCGTTTTGCCATTACTTAATCACTTGCACAATCACTTTTAAAGTGATTAAGATGCCACTTAATCGCAATTAATCATGATTAAGTGGTCGTATTAATCATCGCGAATTTAGGGTGTTTGATTAAGATTAATTAATCTTAACCCATTAACTACCAGTGGTCGATTTTTCGACCAGTGACTTTCGATATTTTTCTCAGGGCTTATCGCCCTCCCCAAATGGGGAATTCGATTAATTTTTTTTTTCTAAAATAAAGTTTGAAATTCATACTTCCCCATGAGAATATTACAAAATCAATTAAAACGTTTCAAATTGGTTGGATTGATCATCGAATGAAACCAAAAATTTTGGAAAAAAATCCCCCAAGAAATTCTACAAATTTGTACTGAATTTTCAATTTTTCTATCGCTGTTAAAAATAAATGGGACTCATATCTCACGATTTGCGAAGTCTTCTGTTATTTTTAGACCAAAATTGATAATATTTGAAAGTATCACGCAATTTGAAAACAAAAAAAGAAACCTGGTAATTAATAGGTTAATCAGATAGTCCGCCCATCTGTACGTATTGTATTGTATTGAAGAAAAAATAATCATACATGTTGTTTTGAAATAAAAAAATATCTCAGATAAGACTGTTATTGATTATGAGTTTACTATTGAAACACGTGCTCCCACCACTACATATGGAATTCTTGTTTCATTATGTTGATAAAGACTTTATCATAAAATCCGGTTGAAATCATATCTAATCTACTTTCAACAAACACTATAAGTATCATGTCTGTTCGTCAAATATCACGTTGTTGTCATTAGCTGGTTGAACGACTGCTAGCTACCACTGGAAAAAACTAAAATTCACCAGTCTCTATCATCTATTCATTCGACGTAAGTGACGAATGAAATGATAATATTTTGTCAAGTGCTTAATAATTTCAGTTTTACTTATTAAGTAATTTTGGTTTTATTCATAGATTCGTGCTGTGATTTCAGTCTGTTCATTCAATTGAAAGTACAAATAAAATGACGGTGAATAGTAGGGAAACGGGCGTTTTGAATATAGCTGTTATCGGTGCTGGACCATCTGGGCTTACTAGTGCAAAAAATGCTCTCGAACAAGGACACAAGGTGGACGTTTACGAAAAGGGTGCGGCGCTTGGTGGAACGTGGGTGTATACTGATGAAACGGGCAAAGATGAATACGGTGTAAATATTCACAGTGCGATGTATGAGGAACTGAGGTGCGTTAGAATCAATCATTTTATGGTTTAAATTCGACAAGTTTTGATTTATTACTTTCGAATAGAACGAATACACCGTATCAAGTAATGGAATACCCCGATCACCATTTTCCAAACGGAACAAAGTCGTATCCAAGACAAAAAGACGTATTAGACTACTTAAATTCCTATGCTGATCGTTTTGACTTGAAGAAACACATACGATTCCATCACTTGGTTGAAGAAGTTGTTTCATTAAAAGACGACAAGTGGAAAGTAACTGTTAAAGATATGCAGAACAAAAAAACGAAGTCAGAAGTGTATGACGTGGTTTTTGTTTGCATCAAAATATATTCTTCACCAAACTATCCACAAATTGAAGGTGCCAGCGAATTCAAGGGAAAAATCATGCACAGCCACGATTACAGAAAAGCTGAAGCTTTCCATGGTTTGAATAATTTACGTATTTTAATTGCGAATTTTCAAGCCCATTTTTCGTTTAGATTTCGATCAGATAGTTTCATACACATCTTCGGTCGAATTTATTTGGTCTCTTGAAATAATCAACCCAGCATTTGATTATATTGATAATTTTTGACTGTTTGATTTCAACAGGGGAGAATGTTCTAGTCATTGGTGGTGGACCAAGTGGTATTGATTTAGTAATTCACCTTGCAAACACTGTGAACCAAATAACGTTGAGCATATGTGATCAAACGGCCTTTGGATATGAATCGCTTAGAGATGAATTCGGGGATATTGTTTCACTAAAAAAAGAGGTAACACGTTTGACACCAAATGGAGCTGAATTCGAAGATGGATCACAACAAGATTTCAGTGTGATCATTTATGCAACAGGTATTTAATACACTAATACATAACTGATAGCATGTAATTGCAGGTCGTATTCGTGACAAACGCGAACGACCACGAATACGATCGTTTGTTTACAACTACGCTGCGTGTACGTGTGTATCGCACAGTGTGCGCACAACATACTCTTTTCTTCATTTGAGTTTTTTCATATTTTTAAACTTAAAATCGACAAGAAATCTCATGGGTATTGATTTTTCAGGCTATAATTATGTGTACCCATTTTTGGGTGCTGACACCGGTATTCGTGTTGAAGACAATTATGTCCAATCACTTTACAAGCAAATTATAAACATTGAACATCCTACGATGGCTTTTGTTGGTCTACCAACATTTGCAGTGAATAATCGCGTGTATGATTTACAGGTAAACGTAAAACATAACAGAGATCGATGGTCTTTGTTTTATGGCATTTAAACTTATACAAAATGTTAATCGAATGTTATTTGTAAAAAACAGGCACGTCTTGCATTGAAATTCATCTCTGGAGCCAAACCGCTGCCCTCAAAAGCCGATATGTTGAAGGATACCGAAAAATATGCTGAAAGTCTTAGGAGAAAAGGCATTTCCCAAAGAAAACTGCATGTTTTACTACCAGATGATCAGAAGCAGTATTGGCGAGGGATAGAGGAAACTGCCGACATTCAGAGCTTCCCGGAATCTTTGTTAGACATGTTTACCGAGGCGTTAAACTGTTTAGTGAATGATCCTGTCGGATTTCGTAAAAATAAATACACCATAATTGATGATAAAACATTTGTAAAGGAAAGAGAAGAGTAAAAACCAATCGAGAAAGGGTTGGAGAGTGAATAAAATCAATTCATTTGATATCGTATTACTCGCCAGACATACACTATGTTGTATTCTTTGTCTTTCCCCAATTTGGTCTGTGCTGAGATTCAGTGCATAGTAACTATACCTACAAAATGATCGAATTGCATTGTTTTGGACTACTTGTAGTGTGTTAGGTTAGAGATTGTTGAAACAAACTTGAGAATCATTCAAGAATAATATAAAAATCATAAAAGGCGCCTATAATTTAAAGTCAAGAATAAAAATATTGAAATAAATGAATACAAAAGTGAAATACTGCAATACACAAGTACAGTACATAGTAGGTACACAAAGAAAACCACTATGGTTGAAAAAAATTTGGTATTATTTTAATTTTAATTTTTGAGACAATGAAAACACTGGGTCACTTTTAACGTAGGTTTTTGGCCAATCACAATATACATTGTTAAAAAAAACCAATTCAATTTTTCTGTAAAGGCTACCGATTAGGGTATCCCAAATGCCAAAAGTTGTAAATATCGCAGCTCCCCGACCGGAATCAGAAAATTGGGGCCGAAAAAATAAATTTAAGCCATTTTCCGACATACTTTTTCTAATAAATCCAACCTGCACGGAAGGTATATAGTTTGTAGGGGAGAAAAATCCATAAATTGAAGAATATTCGAAAATTTTGGTACAATATCGCGATTATACTGGGCAACAGAGGACTGAATCTTACTGCTGTTGTCCAGTACTACAATTTTGGTCAATATTACAGTGCTTTAAAGTGCAATACTGAGCTGTTTCAGGTGAATATATGGCCAAAATCGAGCGAAATTTCACGTTTTTGCTACAAATAACGTCGTAGAATCCGAATATGACCATTATCAGCCAATCCGAATGCATTTTACTGTCAATAAATTCGTCGGTTTACACTTTTGATAGATTTTTTGCTAAGTAGCGCTCTCACATCGGATTTTCAACAAAAACATCAGTGGCCAAAACACCAAATCGACGGAAAATGATCAGAATTTTTTATTTAGATCTTCACACAGTGATTTTGCACCTGTCAAAATGTAAAAGTACTGAACCAACTGCGAAATTGCGCCCAAAAAAGGCACCGGTCGATGAGAAAAAAGTTTTTTCTCTTCATTTCTTTGACAAAGAAGATTTAAACTAAGTGTTCTGTCAAATTTGCGCACCAATACATCCAATTTCATGTCCATCCATGCTATTCTTCGTTTATATGTATAGAAACTTCTATTAAACGTTCAACATCTATGCTGACTGACATTTGTGTACGCTAAACACACCAACAAGCGCATGACGATTGAACATTATTTCTGTTCTTACTCGTTTGCAGGCGATTGCTACATTCATGTAGCAGCGTGTGAATGAAATGCAAACAGTCAACGTGCCGTTCTCTCCACTTATCGTAGCGGCACTGTATTAAGACTCATAATAAAGCAAGCGTTTGACTGTATGCATTTGAAGGCTCTAACGCACGACAAAGTAACTTTGACAAATGATTTATATTGGTAATGGTGCATTAAAAATGACAGGACAGAAATCAGCATCTCAGTTTAAATGTACTTTGAATTGGTTTCTATAATTGGATCCAAACCAAGAAAAACTGCATCATTAGATTTCATATATTAGATTTACAAGGTTATACGTATTTCCAGAGTAGAGAAAAATCGTCATAATTCAATACATCACAATTTCTTCCGTTCTTGATGGTTTTATGCAATTGGTTACTTCTAAAAAGTGTTTAGCGTGCAATTTTAGGTAGGAATGGCAAGAGGGAAAGTACTAGATTTGTATAATTCAAGTAATGCGATCTAGTACAAAAATAATCCCGAATAATCCTTGGGAATCCTCCATAATTCTCAATAATGCTCAATAATGCTATGCATAATGCCAATAAACAAAAGTGAAATACGGTTATGTTTAGCTATTGGGTGTTGATATTACTTTTCCGCAAACTTTGTTTTTATGGAAAAGTATTGGTTTTACTAGCCAAAATTTCATGACATCTCCTCTTTCGGACCACTATAACGTCACGCCAAACTTGAAAAAGCACATATCTGTACACTAGGCAATGTAGATGGGAACAAATCCTATCGATCAAGACCTATCTGCCTCCAAAAACACGTTGTTTACTATGAAAAATGTGTAAAATAGCGATGTTCGTATGGCGTCGTCCGCGTTCGCGTTTGCGTTTTTTGTTCGCCGATTATCTCAAAAAGTTTACAAGATAATTGAGATCTGTAAAAGCCAAAAGTTTTGGCATGTCGGGACAAAGCTTCGGATTGATTTTGAGCCCTTTCTGATTTACCAATTTTGTACCATAAGCCTCCGACTGAGGACCTGAAAAACCTTGAAAAATGACACTTTTGTACGGGAAGTACCCGAAAAAAGCATTTTTCAGGGTTTTTATCAAGGCAAACTGCCATTTTTTTGCAAAAATAATGGGAGTCTGTGAACAACTGAACACCTATTTGCCCATAAACTTGGTCCAAAATCGACATTTCTTGAAATTTTCCTCGAAAAATAGACTTTTGTATGAAAAATCAAACAGAAAGCCATTTTTTAGGGTTTTGGTCAAAGCAAACTGATGTTTTTTTGCAAAAATAATGGGAGCCTTCAAACAACCGAACACGAATTGCCCATTAATTTGGTCCAAAACCAACATTTCTTGAAATTTTTGAAATTTTGTTCGAAAATGACACTTTTGTATGGAAAATGGTCGAAATAGTCAGATGAAAAACCTTTAGACGAGGTTAAAATGGAGTGACGCTCCTGTGCGTGGATTTACCACTCAAAATGACTGATATCATTTTGAGTGACGCTTTGACGCTGTATTACCTCTGGGTACGAAGTTCAAAAGTGTTTTTCGCATTCACTATTGTGAAAATTTAAAACTTTTGAATTTAGTCTCCAAGTCAAACTTTCAAGCGTTTTGCCGTCCAAAAGTCGTGACGCGATATTTTTCCTTATTGTAAATAAATTTTCACAACAGTGAATGCGAAAAACACTTTTGAACTTCGTTCCCAGTAATACAGCGTCCTAGCGTCACTCAAAATGATATCAGTCATTTTGAGTGGTAAATCCACGCACGGAGCGTCACTCCATTTTAACCTCGTCTAGAGGTTTTTCATCTGATATCACTACTTTTGTAAGGCAATTATTCTCGGAAAAAATACACTTTTGCCAGAAATATGTCTATTTTAAGGTCTTATCATTGGGAAATTGTAATTTTTCGGGTAAAACATTTGCATCCACATTTCAAAAGTTTTGTAAATAGCAAATTTCCACTTTCATCAAAAAAGTCCCATTTTGCCCTTATTGGACATTGTAAAATGTGATTAAATTTCAAAATATCCATTAAAAGAGTTTTGAAGTAATTTTAGACCCATTAATTCATTGAAACATATTAATTTCCAACCACCAAAGCTCTGGAAAGTGCATTTTTTATGTATCCCCCGAGCATAAGTTCAATTTCATACATTCAGATGCCAAAATGCCGATTTATGACCAAAATGACAACGAAACGGATATTCAAGTGTTCGTGGACTCCCATTATTTTCACGAAAAAATAGCAGTTTTCGAAGACCAAAACGACGTCGGAGGTGTATTTCACGTGTTTTTCGAACAAAAATGTCATTTTCAGTGAAAATAGAGCAAGTTGAAAAATTCACTTCAATCCGACCTATTTTTCGACCATGAAATGCCCTCAGATCGCATTGTGACCACTTTTAATCGATTGCTCGTCGAAAATTGAGCGGATATGGTCTTTCGTGAGCCTTTCCAGCCAGTCAATGCGTGTTTTTGGCAGCAATTTCATCGTAGAATGCAACTCTTCGTACAAATTCCGTTCATTGATGAATTGCCTATGCCCAGAACTTCGAAATACGAATTTTCCCGGATATGTGGCATATGCCATTTTGTTGGTATGGTGGCCAGCTACAAACGCTCAGTTTTTGGTAAAACATTGTAGGGCTGATTTTTGAGAAATCGCGTTTGGTGTGAAATTTAAGGGGGTCGATTTATCATAAAAATCGACTTTTTTCTTCTATATCACATAAACATTGGAATGTGTGTATGGAACTTTTTGAAGGTCTTCTCAAATGATACCGAGCTGACTTTGCCCGATGGGCGTGTGAGTTGATCTAGTGTGCGAAATAAATACTTGAAAAAATCGTATACATGCAGGCTAGTGAAGCCATAGCCAGCTCTCCTGTAATGCAAATGTCAATCTGAGGACGGGTTTCGATATGGCCCGACACCGGCTACAGCTTGGGTATATCGGCACCGGAATCTGTGGGGGTCTAAAAAGTTTCCGGACACACGGACGAACGAACGGACGCACATCCAAATCAATACTTTCATAAAAAATCAAGATCAAACTGCCAATGCCCATATCTTTTTCGTTTTTGGACCAATCGGGGCACTTGGACCGGCGTTGGAAAGGTGGCGAGGAGGAGCTTCTTTTGGGCACCTCAGACCACCCCCTGGATACCCCCTTCGTAAGATATGGGTATAGATTTGAAAATTCATCGAAATTTTCTATACGCTATATTTTTGCCTAGACCACACTTTAGGCATGGGGGATATGGTGTTTCCGACTATTTAGGCCAAGGCCTTTCGAACGGTACCTAACATGCCGGGGCCCAAATAGTGTCCTGAGAAAATAGCATACTTACTGTATATCTATTAGTGAGACGTAAAAGAACTCAAGTTGGTCCAACTTCGTAGCAATAAAGAGAAGTATGTTTCATTGCAACTAAAAATGGTTAAAAGAATGTATGTTCATTTTTAGCGGGTCCTTGCGGTTTTTCACGGTTTCCGCGGAACAAATAAGAGATAACGACTTGGCGTCTTCGGCAAAGTCTTCTATAACATTGCTGAACTCAGTTATCTCTTATCTCTTATCAGTTCCGCGAAAAAAGCGAAAGATGATAAGAAAAAAAAATTCTATATAAAATTTGCTTTTTTATGTGCGCGATTTGCGCGCAACTGATAAGAGATAAGAGATAGATGTCTTCAGCAATGTTATAGAAGACCTCGAGT